GAATGTTGGAATTCCGGGGTTTTAAAAATTCCTGCATTTCTGCTTTGAGAAATGTCGGGATCCTGGGGAATTTTCGAGGGAAAATTCCTGGAATTCCGCTCTGGGAAGTGCCATAATTCCGGGTTTTTTTGTGGAACAGCTCCCGGTTTTCCCAGAGCTCACCGGATGTCTCCGGCGGCGATGAAGACGGGCTCCCGGCTCTCCTGGCTGGTGATGGAATCCACGGAAAACTGGGAGATGTTGTCACAGCTGTTGGTGTGCATCTCCGGGAGCTGCAGGAATCCCGGGAAAACCCCGTAAAATTCCATGAAATCCCACCAAATCCCGTTAGAATCCCATTAAAACCCTGCTAAATCCCATTAAAATCCCATTTAAATGCCCATCAAATCCTATTAAAATCCCATTCAAATCCCTTCAGATCCCATTAAAATCCCATCAAAATCCTATTAAAATCCCATTAAAATCCCATCAGATCCCATCAAAATCCCATTAAAATCCCATTAAAATCCCATCAAATCACATTAAAATCCCATTAAAAGCCCATCAGATCACATTAAAAGCCCATTAAAATCCCATCAGATCCCATTAAAATCCCATCAAATCACATTAAAATCCCATCAAATCCCATTCAAAGCCCATTAAAATCCCAATAAGAGCCCATTAAAAACCCAATAAAATCCCATCAGATCCCATTAAAAGCCCATTAAAATCACATTAAAATCCCAATAAAAGCCCATTAAAATCACATTAAAATCCCAATAAAATCCCAATAAGAGCCCATTAAAATCCCAATAAAATCCCATCAAAGCCCATTAAAATCCCAATAAGAGCCAAATAAAATCCCAATAAGAGCCAAATAAAATCCCAATAAGAGCCCATTAAAAACCCAATAAAATCCCAATAAAATCCCATTAAAATCCCATTAAAATCCCAATAAGAGCCCATTAAAATCCCAATAAAATCCCATTAAAATCCCATTAAAATCCCATTAAAATCCCAATAAGAGCCCATTAAAAACCCAATAAAATCCCATTAAAATCCCAATAAAAGCCCATTAAAATCCCAATAAAATCCCATCAGATCCCATTAAAATCCCATCCCAATCCCACCCAACTCCATCAAACCCCCGAGACCCCGGGGAGGAGGCGGCCGCAGCTCCCACAGGATCCCGGGAACCCTCCGGAGGCGGCTGCCAGAGCACCCACAGGATCCCGGGAACCCTCTGGAGGAGGTGGCTGCCAGAGCACCCACAGGATCCCGGGAACCCTCCGGAGGAGGGGGCTGCCAGAGCACCCACAGGATCCCAGGAACCCTCCGGAGGAGGGGGCTGCCAGAGCACCCACAGGATCCCGGGAACCCTCCGGAGGAGGGGGCTGCCAGAGCACCCACAGGATCCCAGGGCGGCTGCCAGAGCACCCACAGGATCCCAGGGCGGCTGCCAGAGCACCCACAGGATCCCGGGAACCTTTTGGATGAGGCGGCTGCCAGAGCACCCACAGGATCCCAGGAACCCTCTGGAGGTGGCTGCCAGAGCACCCACAGGATCCCAGGAACCCTCTGGAGGAGGCTGCCAGAGCACCCACAGGATCCCGGGAACCCTCTGGATGAGGCTGCCAGAGCACCCACAGGATCCCAGGAACCCTGGGGAGGAGGCGGCCGTGGCACCCACAGGATCCCAGGAACCCTGGGGAGGAGGGGGCTGCCAGAGCACCCACAGGATCCCAGGGTGGCTGCCGTGGCACCCACAGGATCCAAGGGCGGCTGCCAGAGCACCCACAGGATCCCGGGAACCCTCTGGATGAGGCGGCTGCCAGAGCACCCACAGGATCCCAGGGTGGCTGCCAGAGCACCCACAGGATCCCAGGAACCCTCCCGAGGAGGCGGCCGCAGCTCCCACAGGATCCCAGGGTGGCTGCCAGAGCACCCACAGGATCCCAGGAACCCTCTGGACGAGGGGGCTGCCAGAGCACCCACAGGATCCCAGGAACCCTCCGGAGGAGGGGGCTGCCAGCTCCCACAGGATCCCAGGAACCCTCCGGAGGAGGCGGCTGCGGCTCCCACCTCCACCTGGAGCTCGCCGATGTCGTCCACGGCCCAGGCGTCGTCGTCGTTGTCGCAGCCGGGCGCGGTGCCGAAGCCGCCGGCGCGCTGCTCCGCGCCCAGCCCGCACTCGGGCAGGTTCTCGGCCGAGCGCGTGCTCCGCATGCGGTTCTCCGGGATGCGCGCCGGGACGCTCGCCGTGTCCAAGTTGTCGCATTCCAGGACCTCCACGTAGATCAGGTAGGGAGCCTGGGGAAAGCGGGAACGGCGGAGGGCTGAGCGGCGGCCCCGGAGATTCCCGGCGCCGGGCTTTGGGGGAAATCCCGGGGATTTTAGGAAAAGGCTGGGGATTCCAGAGGGGCTGGAAGCTGGAGGGGCCCGACTCCAGCTGTGCCGGCATTCCCAGTGCTGGAAGTG